TGGAGCAGGACACCTTCCTAGAGGAGTCCAACACGGACCCAGAAGGCATCTCCCCAGCCTGGTGTCAGCATCAAAGGAAGCAGGGACACTGGGACAAGCAGCATCGCTCAACACAATGGGGTCAGAAAGTTGGGGTTTGGCTCAGCAGAGTCCAGGGGACCCCAAAGCCTCCCAGGCAGCGTTGGTCCCACTGTGAGCTCAGTGCTGGGACTTCCAGCGAGTTTGTCACCGTCCGTAGCCCATCTCGGATGGGTGACAGCAGCAGTGAGTCACCCGGAGGAAGGGCTGTCCGGGGAACAGCATTTCCTCTCCCGAGCAGCTGTGGGATGGAGCAGCCCCTGCGTCACTCCGCTTCCACACGTGGACAACGGCTTGTCACCGCTGGGTTCATCCTGCTGGGAAGAGGGCCACCCCGAAGTGCCAGCCACTGGGATGTCCTCAGCGCCAGGCTGTCCCAGGGCTCTACAATCCATCCCGGTGACTCTTTCTTGACAATATCTGGTGCCACCAGGTAGCTGGGACGTGTGTCCTCCAAGGCCAGCCTTCAGGACCACGGCTGGACAGCAGGATGCTGCAGGGATGATGCTTGGCCCCACCAACACAGGGCAGAAGACATGCTCGTTCTTCTCTGCAGGCAGGGCAATGCCTTCGTCCCACCAAGTCCCTTTCACTCCTCTGTCCCCTCCGCAGGGCTCCAAGCCTCAACGGGGGCTACGCCTACACATTGCACACAGCGAGGGTCCCACAGGATCCCAGAGCTACTCATAAATAGGGAACTACAGACTCTACATTGCTTCATACAGACAGCTTACACAGCACGGGGTGGAGGAAAAGAGCCACGGACACCCCCAGGACACGTCGGCATCGGCAGCTGTCCCCGATGGCAGAGGAGCCGAGTGCCACCAGGTCACGGCTTATCGGGGACGATCCTCCTCTTGGAGCTGTAGAAGTCTGGAAGGCAGAAAGAGAAGGTCGGAAAGTGCCTCCAGCCCATCAGGAGCAGGGGGGCAGGAAGATGAAGGTGTCCCCAGGGAAGCAGCCCAAAACCCAGCTCAGGTGGACTCTGGTTTAGGGCCACCCACCCAAAGCCACCCAGTTCCTGGAGGGAAGAGCCTGTAGGTCTCCATCGTCTCTTCTGCTTGGTCTCACCCCTGTGTCCATCCCAGCCCTTGATCTTAGGGGACAGGCTCAGGCCATGGGAACCAAAGGTGATGAATTATTTTGGGGTGTCTTCAGCTTTAAAACCCACAAGTCCAACA